ATGGAATTGTTGGCAATGGACTAAATAAATTCTGGATGCCATCTCAAGAAATAATGGTTTTAATTTTAGAGTAGTTATTTTAGGTCATTCTTTCTGAAATTAGTTAATAAGGAAGACTAAGAGTCTACTGAGACCAGTCTGAGTTTGTGACCATTAAACCACACCATCAACATGTGTTGGCTATTTTCCTCTCATAGAAGTCTGTGTACCCACTGGTGACAGTTGGACTTTGAGAACTTTCTAAGACAGATGAACTAATTCTCATCTAGGAGAGTTTAGCTCTAACGGTTTGAAATGGCCTATGTGGCTGAAAAACACTCGCCTGAGTCCTTTTTTTTTAAAAATAATTTATTTTTTATTATCATACACATTATTACAAGTCATGCTTATTTATTATGCCCACCTGAGTTCTTTTTTTAAAAAAATAATTTATTTTTTATTATCATACACATTATTACAAGTCATGCTTATTTATTATGCCCCTTATCCAATTTCTGCCCTTCCCTCTACCCTCCCCGCCCCTTCCCCCCTCTAATAACCATAGATTTGTTCTCTTCATCTGATAGGTTAACTGTTCCTTTGTTGGTTTGTTGCCTAGATGGTCTGTCCAGTACTGAGACAGGTGTGATCAAGTCCTCCCCTATTAATCTGTCCAGTATTGAGACAGGTGTGATCAAGTACTCCCCTATTATTGTAAAGCAGATACTTCTATTACTCTGCAGTTGCTTTGTGGAGAGAGAGGGCCATGGCAATTTTGATGGCTATGGTAGGCTACCCACGTGGAAACGGTGTTGTTGGTGTGCTCTTTACCTGGTTGTGGCTGGGTTTGGCTTCCCCAAGCTCTATGCCTTAAGACCCCGGTGGGGCTCCAGGGCGGTGGCACCAGCTTGCCTAGTTGTGGCTGGGTTCGGCTATAAAGCCTGAGTTCTAATTTCAGTTCTGATACTAAATTAACTCATTGATTCTGACCACATACTTTTAACTTCCATGGACCTCAATTCTTTTAATAAGACAAGGAATTTAGGCTAGATAATGACTAAGGTTTCCTCCAGCTTTAAGATATATGATCCAATAATTCAGGCATGGCCAATCTACTGTCTTTTTGTAAATAGGAAGATTTCATCATATAAGTCATGAGTAATGTATAAAATATAGAAATAATTTTAAAAGAGACATTTCTTTCATTTTCCCTTGTATTCATATATTTTATTTTATTTTTTTCCTTTTATTGTCTTTTTTTTTTTTTTTTCGTGTCCGGCAACGGATCGAACCCTCAGAAATAATTTTATTTTATTTATTTATTTTTTTCAAAAGATGACCGGTAAGGGGATCTTAACCCTTGACTTGGT